AGGCTAGAGTCCAATAATGCGATCATTGGCTCACCGGAACCTCTGCCTTGGGTTCAAGCCATCCTCCTGCATTCAAGCCTTCCTTCTGCCTCAGTCTCCCAAGTAGCCGGGAGTACAAGCGTGCACCACCACGCCCAGCTAATTTTGTATTTTTAGTAGAGATAGGGTTTTGCCATGTTGGCCAGACGGGTCTCGAACTCCTGACCTCAGGTAATCCACCTGCCTCGGCCTCCCAAAATGCTGGGATTACAGGTGTGAGCCACCACGCCTGGCCTGATGTTCTCATAAGTGGGAGCTAAGCTATGGGTACGCAAAGACATACAGAGTGGTATAACGGACATTGGAGACTCAGAATGAGAGAGGATGGGAAGGGGGAGAGATTTTAAAACTACGTATTGGAAAGAAGGTACACTACTCGGGCTATGGGTGCACTAAATTTCAGACTTCGCCATTATACAATTCGTCCATGTAACCCACAACCACTAGTACCCCTAAAGCTTTTGAAAGAGAAAAGAAAATTTCTCATCACCATTAATGGAACAAACAAATAACATACACCCCGGGTACGATGTACTGAGAATCACACATTCTGGTGGTATTCTTGCCAAAAATATTTCACCTGAATCTAATCCCAAGGGAACAATCAAACAAATACACATTGAAAGATGTTCTGCAAAACTGTTCTGAACTCTTAAACATGCCAATGTCCAACAAGACCGAAACAAAATAAAAGGCTCAGCGACAGCTCCAAATTTAAAGACACTAAAGTAGTGTGACAACTAAATGCAATGTGTGATCCTTGATTCAAACCTGGATCAAAAGCGAAAAAACACCTATGAATAATATTATTAACAGACTTGGTGAAATTTGAATATGGATCACATATTAGATAATAATATGGGGTCCATGTTAAATTTCCTGAGTGTGGTCATTGTATTGTGGTGATGGAAGAGAATGTACCTGTTCTTCAGAGATACGTGCTGAAGGGCTAAATTGTGGCTGTATCTGCAAGAAACTCGCAATGTTTCAGCAAAAAGAAACAAGCAAATAAATAAATACATGTGTTTGTTTATCAAAATAGAAAGATAAAGCAAATGTGGTGAATGTTAACAATAGATGAACTGTAGCTGAAAGATAAACAGATGCTCATTGTTCCATTCTTGCAGCTTTTATGTAGTTCGGATATTTTTTAAAACACATATTTGGACACATTAAATAATGAGTAATAAACACAGAAAGATTTTTCCCAGTCATGTTTTCTGTTAAGCCTTCCATGACATACCCCTACTGGCCCTGGCCCCCAAACACTCACCTAAAACAATGAATCATACCCTCTCTTCCGGACTCTTCTAAGATTATCTATCTCTCTGACCAAACTATAAGCTCTTGGAAATCAGGCCTGTGTTGCGATAGATCTACACTGCTAGGACTGTACCTGACACAGATTGGACGCTCAGTTGATCCTCTTTTTAAATTAATCCAACTGAGTCTTGAAGCTTGGATAGAGTTCAGGAAGCATAGAGGGGTCAGCTTTGTCAAGAAAGAGGAATGGTATGAGCAAAGGCAAGGAAACAGAAACGTACATTTTGTATTTACCAAAAGCATTTGATTTGTTTGGTCAGAACTGAGGATTTGTATAGGTGAAAATGCTTAACACGCAATAGATTGTTAATAAAAATCTGACAAATAAATGAATGAGTAAGATTTGAAAGGCAGGCTTAGATCAGATTAGAAAGGGCTTTGACTACTGAATTGAGAAATCTGAACATTAACTAGTTGTTAACATCCAGGGTGTTTTCCCAGCGGTAAAGAGAGTATGCTCTTGGACAAGTCCCTCATACATTTTCTTCACTAAGTAACAAGGAAAATTGCCTCCACGAGTGTGTTTTTTTGTTTGTTTGTTTGTTTGTTTGTTTGTTTGTTTTGAGACAGAGTTTCGCTCTTGTTACCCAGGCTGGAGTGCAATGGCGCGATCTTGGCTCACCGCAACCTCCGCCTCCTGGGTTCAAGCAATTCTCCTGCCTCAGCCTCCTGAGTAGCTGGGATTACAGGCACGTGCCACCATGCCCAGCTAATTTTTTGTATTTTTAGTAGAGACGGGGTTTCACCATGTTGACCAGGATGGTCTCGATCTCTCGACCTCGTGATCCACCCACCTCGGCCTCCCAAAGTGCTGGGATTACAGGCTTGAGCCACCGTGCCCGGCCGTGTTTTTTTTTTTTTTTTTTTTTTTTAAAAGGGAAAGTAGAGACAAGTGGGATCTGAAAGTGACCTGTTTCCAAACTCAAGGGGAGAAAATGTTATCTATCCAGGAAAAATTCCATACTGGAATTTTAAAACATCCAACATCCCTCAGACTAATGGATATCACAGAATATGAAAGACTAAATAAGGCCTGGTGCGGTGGCTCACACCTGTAATCCCAGCACTTTGGGAGACCGAGGCAGGTGGATCACGAGGTCAGGAGTTCAAGACCAGCCTGGCCAAGATGGGGAAACCTCGTCTCTACTAAAAATACAAAAATTGGCTGGGCATGGTGGCAGGCTCCTGTAATCCCAGCTACTCGGGAGGCTGAGGCAGAGAATTGCTTGAACCCAGGAGGTGGAGATTGCAGGGAGCCGAGATCGTGCCATTGCACTCTAGCCTGAGTGACAGAGTGAGACTCGGTCTTAATAAATAAATAAATAAATAAATAAATAAATAAATAAATCTATTTAATATGGGCTATGCTTGTTTTTGAAAATAGTGTCTGAGGTCAGGCGGGATGGCTCATGCCTGTAATCACTGCACATTGGGAGGCCAAAGCAGGAGTGTCACCTGAGGTCAGGAGTTTGAGACCAGCCTGGCCAACATGATAAAATCCCGTCTTTACTAAAAATGCAAAAAATTAACTGGGCATGGTGGTGCAAGCCTGTAATCCCAGCAACCCAGGAGGCTGAGGCAGGAGAACTGCTTGAACCTGGGAGGTGGAGGTTGCAGTGAGCTGAGATCACACCACTGTACTCCAGCCTGGGCAACAACAGCAAAATTCTGTCTCAAGGAAAAAAAAAAAAAAGAAGAAGAAGAAAGAAAATAGTGTCTGAAATTATTTTATTAATTTTACTATAGTTTTAAAGTTTGAGGAGTGTATACTTATGAAATAAGTATACTCCAATAGTAGTTTAGGGAATCCACATTACTACATAGATTGCAAAGCTTATCCTTTAGCCCAGTTGAGCTGTCTTCAATAGACAGTTTTCATATTTATTTAGTATTTGTGTTCATTTTCTTCCAGATAGAGTTGTGGAGACTGACAATTTAAGTAATGCAAAATAATTTAATTATGACAACTGAGAAAAAGTGTGTTGTATTTTCAGGTTATAGTTTCCTTGACCATCATAAGCAGCCTGACATCTATTTCATCTTTGTTCACAATCACAGCACACCTTTGAACACATACCAAAATGTCAATGGAATCAGAGCAAAGTATGTGAGCCAACTGGCTGCTCTGTGAAATAATTTGTTAGTTTTTTTTTTTTTTTTTTTTTTTTTTTTGAGACGGAGTTTCGCTCTTTTTACCCAGGCTGGAGTGCAATGGCGCGATCTCGGCTCACTGCAACCTCCGCCTCCTGGGTTCAGGCAATTCTCCTGCCTCAGCCTCCTGAGTAGCTGGGATTATAGGCACGCACCACCATGCCCAGCTAATTTTTTGTATTTTTAGTAGAGACGGGGTTTCACCATGTTGACCAGGTTGGTCTCGATCTCTCGACCTCGTGATCCACCCGCCTCGGCCTCCCAAAGTGCTGGGATTACAGGCTTGAGCCACCGCGCCCGGCCACAATTTGTTAGTTTTAAGCTATAGTTCTTTTCAATTTTCAGCCAAATTCTACAAAAATCTTAGCTGGAAGGAAATGCAAATGTCAGGTCGCATTTTAGAAATCAGTTTTTGGGCTGGCTGCAGTAACTTAGCCTGTAATCCAGCACTTTGAGAGGCCGAGGTGGGAGAGGATCACCTGAGGTCAGGAGTTCGAGACCAGCCGGGCCAACATGGTGAAACCCTGTCTCTACTAAAAATACAAAAATTAGCCAGACATGGTGGTGCACACCTGTAATCCCAGCTACTTAGTAGGCTGAGCACAAGTATTGCTTGAACCCCAGAGGCAAAGGCCTGAGCCTCTCCAGCCTGGGTGACAGAGCGTGACTCCTTCTCAATTTTTAGCCCAATTACCACGTAGCATTAACTTGTTCCAGAATGTTTAATATTACTGGGAAGACAGCATCGGTAGGGGTCAGAGTGATTTGTAGTTCACAAAGCATGTGGGCATTCTTTTTGAAGAAAATACACAAAATAATTTGAGCTGTTGTTTCAGGTAATAAAGTAGACTTATTCGATAAGTCATTTGAGCTGTACATACAAATGGACTATCACACAGCTAAATTAGTCGCAGCTGTCCACCCCAGGCCAACTTCAAGATAAAGGCTATATACCAGTCAGCAATGCTCACTTACAACCAGCCCTGATGTGTTTGTAAGCAGGAGAATAATTTTATGGTTATAATCAACAAAGAGGTATCAGACCAGTCCACCAAGCCCAGCCAAATCCCATAATTTGCTCCAGTTTTATAGAGATTAGCATATTACGTGAGCCAAACGCTGTTCCCCATCTTAGAATATGATATTGCTATTTTTCAGGGAAAGTGTAAGCCCTGTTCTGCAACACTGATGGAATAGAAGCATTCATAGATACTGTGTTTAATGTGGTCCAATAATTGAAACATAAAATATATATCTTGTAACAGAACATTTTTAAAAGTCAAGAAAGATAAGAATTAAGCTTTGAACAATAAATGACTATGAAGAAAGATAAAAAGAAGAGACTGGGGGGTCTCTGAAGACCCTGCTTAGAGGCCCTGCCCTCCTTGCGGCAAGCGGCCATTGCCATGGAAACCGGAACCACGGGGCTATCTGTCCGGGATTGTGACGCCCAGATGGGAGTGGTGGAAGGAGACAGAAAGAGGGTGGTGACCTATGGCAGGTCCTCTTTCTCCAAGCAGTAGCCTGAGACTTCACGGCACGGCTGCTATCCTGAACTAACTTGATAAGGATTGTGCCCCAAACCACCGCAGTGAGACCTCGGACCATCAGCCTTAATGACAACATCCGTGTCTTCCCTTCCATCTCAGGCTGCCCAGCAGCCTCCCATCTTCAGCCTCTCTCAGATAACCAGCAGCCTCTTTCTCAGCAATGGTGTCGCCGCCAACAGCAAACTCCTGCTTACCAGCCATCGCATCACCACCGTTATCAATGTTTCGATAGAAGTAGTCAACGTGTTCTTCGAGGGCATTCAGTATGTAAAGGTGCCTGTTACGGATGCTCCTGACTCTCGTCTCTACGACTTTTTTGACCCAATTGCTGATCACATTCACAGCGTGGAAATGAGACAGGGCCGCACGCTGCTGCACTGCGTGGCTGGGGTGAGCCGCTCCGCCTCACTGTGCCTCGCTTACCTCATGAAATACCACTCCATGTCGCTGCTGGACGCCTACCTATGGACCAAGTCACGCCGCCCCATCATCCGGCCCAACAACGGCTTCTGGGAACAGCTCATCCATTACGAATTCAACCTGTTTAACAACAACACCGTGCGCATGATCAACTCGCCTGTAGGTGATATCCCTGACATCTATGAGGATGAAGTACTTACGATGATGTCAGTGTAAGCCATCTCCGTCATCCCTGACATCTACCATCGATCTTGCACCAAGACTGAACTTGAACACTGACGTTTTGTTGATAAAGAAAACCGGACGATACCTTGTTAAAGGGCAAGAAAAAAAGGAAGGGGGTTGGAGTTTTGAACGTAGTCACTCTTACCTTAAAAGAATTAAATTCATGAAACGTAATTTGGTGAAAATACCTTTTATCTTGTGAGGTTAACCTATTGGGGCCTGACCGGAACCAGGGTGGGGTAAGTGATGCCCAGCTCACATAGACCTGCCAGCAGCATCCAGCACATGTGGCAGGCCTGGAATCCTGAGCCCTGCCAGAGGCTGACTAGCCCAGGAGTAAATCCCCTAGAATCCCACCTGATTCTTTCCAACCCAAAGTCAAAGCCTTAGACGTCTTGGTGTCCCTTGCACTTCTCCCGGTAAGTGTCAACCTAGTAGTTAAGTGGCTTTCATTGAGGCTGTGCTCCAGGAGCTCTGGAGGAGTCTCAGGCTACCCTTGCCCACCTTCAATCACAGTGGCCCATCTCTGGGTTTCTACATTGGATTTATACATTAATTTTAAAAATATACTAGTTTTTAAAAGACCATTCCACTCCATAAAGTTTAAAAATACTGTTTTTTTGTTTTGTTTTGTTTTGTTTTTTGTTTTTTTGAGTGCTGCACTAGATGGCAAGGTCTCAAAGTGTCCTTGGTGATCTCCCACCAGCCTTTGTGAAAAGGGACATTAGTCCTTTTCCCAGGGCATATACTGAGAGAGAAGAGGCCTGACACCAGGCACAGATGTTCCTCTTGTGAGCCTCAGCTCAGGAGGCTGGAACTGCTGGCCATGACCCAGCCCCGTCACCTCTAACATCTCCTTTGATTGTGACCTGGGTCCTTTCAGAGCTTCACTGTCCTCACCTGTCAAAACAACTCTCCCACAGAGCTGTCGTGAGGAATAGGTTCCTTAGCACAGTATCTGGCACATGAATGGTTTCATGCCAGGAGTAAAGGGCAATGGCTTGAGGTCAGCACACTCATCCTCATAATGGCTTTTCCCACATCTGTGCACAGTCCTTTTTTGTTTACAAAAAATCATCCAGTGTGTAAAAACAAATGGCTTAAGGTCCTTTTGGACCTTACTTTAGAATGGACCTAGATTCGGGCATGGTGTGGGGCACCTGTGGTCCCAGCTACTTGGGAGGCTGAGGCAGGAGAATTGCTTGGACCCGGGAGGTGGAGGTTGTGGTGAGCTGAGATTGCACCATTGCACTCCAGCCTCGATGACAGAGTGAGACTCCAAAAACAAAAAAAAAAAGGGTTGGGGGTTGGCTAGATTTAGAGCCTTTACAGAGGTCCCATTATGTTTAATCTGTGTGCATCCATCCAAGGGGTCGTGTAGAAGCATAATTCCAGCTTCCCTGAAACACTTGTTTAGTCAGTAACAGTTAGAGCCAGCACCCTGGTTTTGCTAATTACCAGGGTATTCGCCAAAGGGATGAACAACTGAGCCCCACATATAGACCCTGGAATCAAGGATCATGCTAACTTCCTGGGAACCTGGGGCTCTGGCTGGTGTTCAGTTATTCTAATCCAGAGGGTTTTAGACAGAAAAAAAAAAAAAAAGGCGGGGGCGGTGGGGGGGAGACAAAAGTACAACTGTTCCATTTGAAGAAGAACTATGTGTCCAAAGCCCAGTGACATTCAAATGGTTTTTCTCTCCAAACCTGAGACACCACCACTGGCACAAAGGGAGTGTCTAGGGTGCAGTTTGAGGAAAGGGGGATAAAATCACTGCTCTAGGCAGATCCACTCCATTTACAGATGGAAAAACAGGCCCACAGAATGCAAGAGTTTCGGCAGAGCCCCCACAAAGCAGCCTTTCTGGCGGAGACCCAGATGGAAAATTTCTTTTAAAGTATTTTTTAGAAGAAAATTATTTGTGTGTGTGTGTGTGTGTGTGTTTTCATTTTTAAAAATAACTAAATTGGCCGGGCGCGGTGGCTCACACCTATAATCCCAGCACTTTGGGAGGCTGAGGCAGGCGGGTCACCTGAGGTCGGGAATTCAAGACCAGCCTGACCAACATGGAGAAACCCCGTCTTTACTAAAATTACAAAATTAGCCAGGTGTGGTGCTGGGCATCTGTAGTCCCAGCTACTCGGGACGCTGAGACAGGAGAATGGCTTGAACCCGGGAGGCAGAGGTTGCAGTGAGTCGAGACTGTGCCACTGCACTCCAGCCTGGGCAACAGGAGCAAAGCTCTGTCGAAAAAAAAAAAATCTAAATTAACACACTATGAAATTACTCTTTGTGGATAAACAGTTCCATGAGTTTTAACACATGCATAGATTTAGGTAACCATCACCACAATCCCAAAATTTCCCTCATGCTTCCCCTTTTTCTAATTAAACCATCAACCCATCCCTGTCGTGGACCGTCCAGGACGGGTAGGCACGTCTGCCCGGGGGTCTCTCGACCTGCAAGAGGGTCCCAATACCTGGAAGAGGGAGTGCGCCTGAGAAAATAATAAAGACAGAGAGAGAGAAAGCGAGGCGTCTGGAGGGCTGATAGGCTGTGCCTAAACAGCAAATTTTATTTTTCAAAGGCCAGGAATAAATACACTTTCTTGGCTCTGGTTTACGTCATAGTAAGAGGAATGTAAATGTATGCCTCACATGGCCTATACAATAGAGAAGTCAAATACACAATGGTTGCAAGACGAAATGTAAATGCATACCTTACATGGCCTATACAATTGAAAAGTCAGATACACAATCAGTGGTTGTAAAAAGTAACAGAATTTCCTGTGATCACAAAGCTTGTTTACGTCCAGACATTATTCCTCCTGGCTGCAGGTATCTCTGGTTTGATCTTGTTTTAGGACTGAGATGTGAAAAGGTTTTCTGGTTTTGCTTGTCAGAATATCTTTTAACCGGATTCTCCTTTGTCTACTCCTAACTCAACTTAATTTCCCCATTCAGGAATCTCTGAGTCAGAAATCAAAGCCATCCCTTATGGTGGCATTTGCTTTGTAAATATCAACAGTTAAACCATTATCTAGGGTACAAGGCGGTCTGGTAAGTAAGGTTTAAGGATTATTCTTAAAGTCATAAAAAGGTTAAAAGCAGGAACTGGTTGCCGGTAGGGGGTCACTCGGTCTAGCAGCAACGCATAGTTTTAGGCCCAAATGATATTGTGGTTGATATTAGAAACTGATCATTCATCTTTCAGTTCCTATATTTCCGGATAGCTCGACTGCCTCCAGTAGGAAACTGTGTTTGGGATCAAACTCACCGTATAGTGAGACTCACGCCTTTTAGGGGTCTCACACGGGAATGTTCCCCACACATCCCAACCTCTGGCAAACACTGATCAATTTTCCTTCCCTATGGATTTGCCTTTTTTTTTTTTTTTTTTTTTTTTTTTTTTTTTGACACTGAGTCTTGCTCTGTTGCCCAGGCTGGAGTACAGTGGCATGATTCAGCTCACTGCAGTCTCTGCCTCCCCGGTTCAAGTGATTCTCCTGCCTCAGCCTTCCAAGTAGCTGGAATGACAGGGGTGCACCACCATACCCAGCTAATTTTTGTAGTTTTAGTAGAGACAGGGTTTCACCATGTTGACCAGGCTGGTCTTGAACTCCTGACCTCAGGTGATCTTCCCACCTCAGCCTCCTAAAGTGATGGGATTACAGGCGTGACCCACTGTGCCTGGCCTGCCTCTTTCTAGCATCTAGTGTTAGCTGACACTCCTTGGTATTCCTTAGTTTGTAGATGCATCACTCTATCTCTGCCTCTGGAGTCACAGGCTATCTTCCTTAGTGTGTCTTCGCATCTGTCTTCCCTCTGTGCAAATCTATGTCCAAATCTTCCTCTTCTTTTTTTTTTTTTTTTTTTTTTTTGAGACAGAGTGTCGCTCTGCTGCCCAGGCTGGAGTGCAGTGGCGCCATCTTGGCTCACTGCAACCTCTGCCTCCTGGGTTCAAGTGATTCTCCTGCCTCAACTTCCTGAGTAGCTGGGATTACAGCCACCTGCTACCACGCCCTAATATTTTTTGGTATTTTTAGTAGAGTCGGGGTTTCACCATGTTGGCCAGGCTGATTTCAAACTCCTGACCTCATGATCTGCCCACCTCAGCCTCCCAAAGGGATTACAGGTGTGAATCACCTCACCTGGCCTCTTCCTCTTGTTATAAGGACACCAATCATATTAGATTAGGGGCCCACTCTACTCCAGTATGAGTAATTAATACATCGAATGACCCTATGTTCAACTAAGGTTATATTCTGAGGTTGTGGGGGTTAGGATTTCCACATATTTTGTGGGGATACAACTCAACCCATAACAAGGTTATTTCCAGTTTTAAGCAATTATGCATAAAGCACAATAACACACACACACACACACACACACACACATACAGAAAAGGATCATGTCACCTGAAAAAAGAACGGTAGCACTTTAAAACTAGTGCAAAATGAGTTAGAGTAAAAAGTAACAATAACTACTATACATTAAGAAGTTATTAAATGCCTAACGCAGTACTGGGAGCTTTATAGTGTCTCTACTCCTTCCAACAGCTCTTTAAGGTAGTTATTATTCCCATTGTACTAACGTATTTAAGGAATTTGCCTAAGGTAGCACATAGGCCAGGAATGAAGAAGAGACATACAGATGAAACTCTATTTTCCTGCATTTCTTTTGAGACAAAGGTAAGTAGATTGAAAGCAGACTTTTTAGTCACACCCTTACTTCCCAAATAGTATGATTACAAGTCATTAAGGGAGTTGTTTTTTGTTTTTGTTTGTTTGTTTGTTTTTGGGACAGTCTCACTCTGTCGCCCAGGCTGGAGTGCAGTGGCATGACCGCCACTCACTGCAGCCTCCACCTTCTGGGTTCAAGCAATTCTCCTGCCTCAGCCTCCCAAGTAGCTGGGATTACAGGCATGTGCCACCATGCCCAGCTAATTTTGTATTTATTTATTTATTTATTTATTTTGAGATGGAGCCTCTGTCACTCAGGCTGGAGTGCAGTGGAGCAGATCTTGTCCTCCTGAGTAGCTGGGACTATAAGCACATGCCACCATGCCTGGTTAATTTTTTGTACTTTTAGTAGAGACAGGGTTTCACTGTCTAGTCAGGATGGTCTCCATCTCCTGACCTCGTGATCCACCTGCCTCAGCCTCCCAAA